CTGTTTATTTTGTTTTTTTAGAAAACTTTTCGCCGAAAAAGCACGCAGTCTGCTTGGAGGGCTGGGACTTAATTGAGCAAAGTTAGATAGAAGAGGCAAACAAAAACCCGAAAACAGCAAACCAACATCCTCTTGGAGTTTTGCCAGTTGTTTGTTTCTTCTGCAGAGATTCGGGGTGAATTTTGTCGGTGTAGCGGCGCAGATCCAGAACAGAGTGAAGAGGCTGTTTATGCTTTTGTGTTTGTGCATCGGGGGTGAGTCCTAACAAAGAGCCACTCAGCAGGTCTGGGAGACTGCAGCGTCATGCTGCCAACAGCGACCTCAGCGCCCAGACTCTCAGATAAAAGGTGATGGTATGTCTCGGCTATTTTTTTTTTTTTTGGCCAGGCTGAGAGAAAACAGTCATGGATACAATAACAGAGACATTGATAAGGTCAGCAGCACAAGGCGGCCGCAGCAGGAATAGAGCCATACTTTATAACGTCTGTGACATTTATTGGCCACTCTTCAGTAAATATTGTTTTCAACAAAACCCAAGATTCTGTTTTTTGTCTCAGAAAAATCGATGCTAAAAGGAGCTGCACCAAAGACCAAGGTTAAAGGTCATGTTTGCTTGTTTAGGTTCTTATCCCACATGTGCATTCACACGTATGACCTTCCAAAGGTCACACAGAGAAGTGTTTTCCACTCAGATAATAAATGTTTTCTGGAGATGCTGCTGCAGGAATCTCTCTAACTTCCATTAATAACATTAATGAGTAAAGCTGTCAGCAAAGGGAAAAGATGGAGAGAGTTGTCACTTCAATGAACCATAAGAGCTGCCGCTCTGGTCACGTCACATTAAAGCTTTTTTCATCGTCTGGACGTTAAACTGTTCATCTTCACACCTCCATCATTTTTCTGATGTCCTGTGAAGACTGACACCTGGGATGAGTCAACATTCTGTGTCCAGGATCTGCAGCATGCACCCAGTAGAGGAATAAAGGACACACAGATCTACTCAGATCCACCTGAAACCTTCACCTCGTGAGACGCAACAAATCCTGCATCCCTTTAGTATGTTGTTAATCTCACCTATCGCTAAAGAACCAGAGTGCTTCATTCCTCGGGCCACAGGGCTGCAAAAACCCCGTAAAATCTCTTCTGAAAGAGAGAATTGTTTCATTTAAATTTATATGTCTAATCAAAATGAGAGGAAACCTCTTGGGATTAAAAGTGGAATTTCCCAGTGCACACCCGAATGAAGAAAACAAGAGAAACCTGATCTTCAAGCAGATTTTCCTCTCCCCCCCCGTGTTGATTTTCCCAGCTGAGCGACTGAACGTGCGTGAAATAGATTTCTTGCCTCTGCATGTTTCCGTGTTGACAGGCAGGAGTAGCTGCAGGATGTTGTTTCATACCACACACACACACACACACACACACACACACACACACACACACACACACACACACAAAAATAAAAAGCAATAAATTATTGAAACTTTTAGAAATAAATCAGAGGAAAAAGGATTTTATTCACCGATTCTCAGAACCACCTAAACCTGTGTAATAATCATCAGACGTGCTTTAATGTGAGCTGAGGGCGGGGAGTTTCTGAGCTACAGTGCTAACAAATCCACGGCTGCTTCAGTTTGATGTTAGTTTAGAGTTGCATTGTAACACTTTTGGGAATTGTTGTTTGTGTGAGCAAACAGGTCAACCATTCTAAACTCTAGATTATGGAAATGTTTATCATAAAGCATCATGACAAAAACAAACGATGAAGGGAAACCCAGTCAGCGCATCTGTGGATTTCACTTTTCACCAGCTGCCCGGTCCTGGTCAGTGACTGTTTACTCTGCAGCCTCTGGCCTTTGCAGAGCGCACGTCGTGTCTCTGAGGCGTGAGTGGCAGCAGGGGATCTGCATGCAGTAAAGCCTCAGCTTCCCACCGTATTTACAGAGCTTACAGATAAGATGCAGGAAGAGATGGAGAAGTCAGCGAGCGCTGAACGAAGGCAGATAAAGGAGGGCACAGAACTCACTCGTCCTGATAATTACAAGTAATTAGATTCATGGAAACCAGTTATTAAAATATTTTTATAGATGTTGCATCTCATGACTGAAGGCCTGAATCAGGCATGTTATGGTGCAGTGATGCTTAATGAGGGCATGGTACCTCAAATTCACTGGTTCATGGTTTACTGGCACTCCTGTGATGAAATACCATGAATATTAAGTATGTTATAAATAAATGTAGTATTTTTTTACATTCGGAAGGAAAATGTTGACTTTTTTTCCTGTGAGACTTTTAAAATTTCAAGCTCAAACATGTCATTCTGTTGTACCCATAAAAGCTGCAGTACGTTAGATATTTAATGGTAGATCTTTATGAGTTAATAGGATATTTATCATTATTATGATAAAGTTATGATACATTTAACAGCTCTAAATGAAGCTGGTGGCCATAGAGGATGATTGTGTTTCAGGACTGCAACAAAAAATCACTTCAAGAAGAAAATTATCATCTTTAATTCATGCAAATTGTTTTTTCACTGACAATATTTCCACAAAAATGTCATTTGAATTTTTCTTAAACAAAATATGGTATTTTGTGCATCTTCTTAAGTCTCCTTTTTGTTGCTCAGCTACAGCAAATTGTCAAATAAAACCATTTTCCATTCAGTTAATTATTCTGCGCCGGGTAGGATTATTTCACATCTAAAGTAAAGATGACTTTATTTTGAATTAAACAACATAAACACGTCATTTTTCTGTCCAAATAAGAGGTAAAGATGTTTAAACACAGATCTTATTTTGTGTTTTGTGTAAAGAAACGTGTTATTGAATCAAGCAGCTTCAGTGTGCTCTGATGTTTGGAAACCACCAAACTAGACCGTAAAAGTAAATAAGCAGCATAATCTGCCCGTTATGACGGGTAACGGCGGTAACGCCTGCAGGCTGCAGCTCTCCTCCTCAGCTTCTCTCAACACAAATGATGAAACCCACTCTGATGCACACAGAGAGGCTATCTGGAATACCGCACATCAATATTTTAAAGCCCAGACTCTGCATTAAAACCAGAGTTGGAGCTGCGTGCTTAGCAGGTGCATGGGACAGGTGAGTCGGGGGAGACGTGCACGGATCACATGAATTAGTTACTCAGGTCTCAATAAAACACTGAATGTAAAAACGGGAGCTTTTATCAAGCTGGGTGAAGAAAAACAGCCTGATGCTGATGAATAAGTAATCAGTGTGGCTGTTCTTAAGACAAACAGCGAGCAGAAACATCAGGGGGAAAGCTCTCAGAAAGGCTGCTTAATTTTTAAAGTATCTAAGAGTCCATTGATTTTTTTTTCTTTTACAACAGCTCAGTTTTCTCACTATAAAGGGTTTACGTTATGGAGTCTGTGAGGGGAATCCTTACATTACACTTCTGCTAATTATTCATCCCACTGGAAACAAACCCGAGGATGTAGAAGCGAAAACGTGCGGATGACTCGTCCCGTACAGGACGTGTTCTCTAATGTTGTGTGAACGATCTAATACGCTTATCCCTGTTCTCTTCTCTTTCCCTCCTCCCTGGTGCATCATGGGACGCATTCATCCATCTCAGCTCTCTCAGGTGCGTGACAACACCAAGCAGGAGGGATGGGAGCCTTTTTAAGCTCAATATTTGATCTTTACTCTGATTAAAGTTGACTTCAGAGCAAACGCTGCTTCGTGGAGCTGCTGCAACAAAAGGACCGTACGGAATGTTAAGTGTGCATATATTATTCAAGATGTACAATACAAGGCAGCGTGCTGCAACGTTTTCACAACTTACTGGAGGATGTAGTTTACTGACTTTAACAGGGAACAACATGATAAAATCAGTAAATGTGTGCTCCTGTCTGTGGGATGAATTATTCAGAGACACACAGGATCGGTTGGTCTTCGGGATGGAGCGGGACGGTCTAAGTTAGACTTTATTTTTCCCTCCTCAGAGATCACCCACATGCCTGGGCTGTGAGTTTTAATCCTGCACATACTCAAAAGAAGGAAAATAGTTACTGAGTTAAAGATCATAAACCGCTGTCCTCGAGGGAGAGCCGTCAGGCTTGCTCAAATTAATAATAAAAGCTCTTTCTACAGCGCAGCAGGGCTGTGATGCTCTCAGAGTCGACGGTTGACGAGTTCAAGTTTAGACTTCTGCGCAGGAGAAGAAAATAAAGAGACGGGCGAATCTGGAATGTGCCGGTGATAATTTATCAGCATGCTTTTAATAAGGCTGTTGTTTTAGCATCTAATTAAGACGAATGATTCACAAATGTGTGACTGGTCTGCGGGGAAGGGAAACCTCAAAGCAGGTTGGGTAAAAAAGAAAACCTCAGCTGGATTTGGAGTTTGACGTCATTTTCAGCAAACATATCTCCCAATTCTTCCTCGCTGACCCCGAGTTGAGCCTTCGACTCGGTTTGCATTAAACGTAGTTTCTCAGCAGACCTTCAGAGCGCAGCACGACGCCGTGGTGTGCATAGTTTTAATTTACACACCAACAGCAGATGAACCCACAGAACAAGAATCTGCACATCAGTAATTTCCTGTTGAGTCCAATCAGAGCTCTGAGGCTGTGTGGAGACGAAACAGCTGCGCTGCACACATGGCTGCTCGCTCTGCTTAAAGCCTGTTTACAGGAGCCCAGATGGGACACGCCGAGCTCAGGCCAGTGTTCCTCCTGTGTCTTGTTTCTCTTGTTCTAATTACACATCTGGGTGTTCAGTTAAAGGCCCGAGGCTCACTTTAGGCCAAAATTACAAGAAGGGATCCATTTAATCCTTGCTGAAAAAAAATGTAGACAAGTGCAGAAAAAGTGCAGATGTATTCAGTCTTTTCTCTCTTTTCTTACATTCCCTCCAAAACCTTTTGAGCTGAATAAAACAGCCTGATTGAAGATCTGCAACTGGTTTCATCTCTCCAATGGAGCCCGTGTCATAAGAAATTCTTTTTGTGTTTTTGTCCCCCGTCGTTGTGCTGCAGGAGCTGTCGGAGGAGCGTCATTCCCCGCCGCTGCTGACGGTTAACGGCCCCGGAGAGGAGAAACTGTTCCGCAGCAGGAGTGCTGAAGTGGAGCTGACAGCAGAGAAGGAGAGGGTCAGGAAGATGCTGTCTGAAGGGTAATGATGGAGTTCTGGTTGCATGGAAGGCGGGTTTAATCCAAAGCTGAAAGTGTTAAATAATTAAGAAGCATGAAGTTAATTAATCAAAACATCTAAAATATGAATACATAAAGAGTTTATTGTTGTTTTTAAGTTTGTTTTCAAGATTGAGAAATAAAATGTTAAAATATAATCCGCCTGTTTTAAGGTGCTGTAACAGGTTTGGCTCGTGGTGCAGGCTTAGCAAACATCACATGTAAAATTTGAACTACAAACAATTAAACTCGGAAAAGGGTAGAAAGCCTTCTCCGGGTCAGGGATGAGGTCCTGCCCTAAGTGAAGGAGTTCAAGTATCTCGGGGTTTTGTTCACAAGTGAGGGAAAGATGAAGCACAAGATCGATAGGCGGATTGGTGCTGCATCTGCACCAATCCAGACCGTTGTACCGGTCTGTCGTGGTGAAGGGAGAGCTGAGTCAGAAGGTGAAGCTCTGAATTTACCGGTCGATCTACGTTTCTTCCCTCACCTATGGTCACGAGCTTTGGGTAGTGACCGAAAGAACGAAGAGTTCAGGCTAGTCGACGAGAGGGTGATCGGTGACTCAGGAGTTAGGAACTCACAATCGGTAGGTTGGTGGTTTGAACCAAGGCTTCGCACCTGTCAGTCGTTGTGTCCTTGGAGAAGGGTGGTGGCTTCTGTCGGAGTGCCCCAGGGCAGCTGTGGCTACATTATAGCTCATCACCACCACCGTGTGAATGTGTGTGTGTGTGTGAGTTGGTGAACAATGACTGTAGTGTAAAACCCTCTGACTCAGAAAGCACCATACAAGTGTAGACCATTTACCATTACTTTTTAATATAGCTCATGAACACAGCAAGAAGAAAACACTTTCTCTCCAAACTAAGGCTGTTCAAAGTGCTTTCTGGTCCTGGCTTGGGTTCAAACCAGCAACCCAATGATTACAGGTCATATTTGTGTAAAAGTTCATTTCAATACATATTAACTGTCACTGTGAGGCATTTCTGACATACAGGATGTATTTGTATGAATGTGTGTTGATGTCCTTTTATTCCCCTTCAAACTATATATTTTTTAATATGAATGATTAAAGTACATGATTTATGTGTATATATACATATATATATATATATATATATATATATATATATATATATATATATATATATATATATATATATATATATATATATATATATGATCTGGTCAGCTGTAGAACAGCAGAAGAACTATGGCACTGTTCATCAGGATTATATCTTCTAGCAGATTTCCTCTCACCCTCCTGGCTGTGTGGGTTGGTAGTTGGTAGTATTCAGTCTGCAGTTCTCAGCAGAACAAAGACAAATAAATAAAAGTTATCTCAGTTCTTCCTGCCAGGATGAAGCATTGAAGTCTCAACCACATGAGCATAGAAAAGCTGTAACATAGAGATGGGTTATGAGAGAATTTAGGAAGGGATGTGTGAACCAGCTTTAACACACACACACACACACACGCTCGCGCGCGCACACACACACACACTGTTGTGTAAGTGGAAATATCTCAGGTAAAATGAAAACATCAGGCTGAAACACCAGACATCGTTATGGACAGATGATAGATGGAGCTCTGCAGCATAAAGACTTGGTTCATCCCAAGGGGGAAACTCTGCTGGCTGCCAAAGTGAAACCTACACAAGTGACAAAAGTGGCAGTTCTCCATTAAACCACTAGGGGCTGGATCCAGAAAGGAGCATATTCCCATCGACTTCCACAGAAAAAACTTGTTTACAGCCTGGTGGTGAATTTCTTTGTAACTCACCTATTTAGATGCAATTAAAGCTTGAAATTATGCTAAACTGGGGTGTCTGTTTGATTGATCGGTAGCAGATGAGACGTCAGTGCTAGCGCTAGCAGCTTGTCCCCCTGCTTGATCCAGTTAAGGCCTCAGCCTTGGCCTCACATTAAGTGTTACAGCCTAGAAGGCAGAGGGTAGCAGTGTCACTCATCTGCGTTTTTTTTGGCTAAAAGCGCCCGCCAACCGCCGTCAGCTTCAGTTAGCTTGTAGCTAGCAACCATATTTTATGTGCACTCATTGGTTCATTCTGACATAACAGCTGAAAGTGCCTAAGCATCAAAATGGGCTTTGCTTTAAAGCTATGTGATTTTCTTTCCAGTCCTGCAGTGTGTGTGTGTGTGTGTGTGTGTGTGTGTGTGTGTGTGTGTGTGTGTGTGTGTGTGTGTGTGTGTGTGTGTGTGTGTGTGTGTGTGTGTGTGTGTGTGTGTGTGTGTGTGTGTGTGTGTGTGTGTGTGTGTGTGTGTGTGTGTGTGTGTGTGTGTGTGTGTGTTATGCCAGTGATTATACTTTATGATTTTTATAATGCAGACTCCCCTCTTCTGTTGCTATGGTGAAAAGGTTTATGGTTGCCAGGCTGTGAGTATAGTCGTCATGGAAAGGATTGCTTTCCCTAAACTCCATTTTCTCAGCTGAAAGCTCTTTAGTTTATTATGTATTCCCACTGAATCCTGACCTTTACTGGAACACGGGATGCTTCCCACATTGAAATAAAAGGACGACACATTATTTGTTCTGTGTTGGCTTTCATATACATGACCCAGTGGTGTATTTTCCTTGCTGTTTTAGGAACATTCTGCTCTGCTTTGGTCAATAAAAATCATTTTTAAAATGAACACATAAACAGCCACACTGAGCTGGATTATCGTACAAGTGGTCTAATAGGAATATTTCCACCTGCAAGCACATTTTATTATCACCATATCATTCATGTTGGCTGCACAAAACAGTAGAAACAACAAAATACAGTGCTTGTCATTTTCAGTGTAGAAAAAAAAAACTCAGAAACAAGCAGTGTGGTCAACTTCTCAGTAAGGTAATGGTGACCTGGAAGTCACCAAATGATGTCATTACCTAATCTGACCATGTGTGTACTGTAATGACTGTATTAGAGAGAAATAAGGTGGACATACTTTTAAAAAGTGATTTAAAAACCATTTGTAAACCTGAAACAAATCAACGAGAGACACAGACAACGTAGAGGAGGTGGTTAATGTCTCCTGCTGTGGAGGACTGGGCCACCTGTGAGTGCTTTGGGAGGAGGAGGGGTCCACAGCAACTCCCTCAGCTCTTTCAGAACAACATGTGCTTTTGGTCATGAGTCTCCAAAGGGGCCTGAAAAATTGACAAATTCACTGAAGTAGCATTTTGTCCCTTAAACCATTTTAAAACATTTGACAACATAGTTATATATTCTTTTACTATGTGTATTAATCTTCTCGGTGGCCTAGTGGTAGAGTGTCTGCCCTGGGACTGGGAGATTGGGGCTCAAATCCTGGTCTGGTCTTACCAAATACTTTAATAATGGGACCCAAAGCCTCTGTGGGAGTCGGTAAATATAGTGCTTTAAGAGCTTAATATATTACCTCTACTTATGACCAATAAGCTGTGATACTCTATATAAATATAGAATATCAACCTGCTTGGTCTTTGGATGTTTAATCAGAAGATTCTAGGATTCTTTTTTTATTCAGGGATTGTAGAACAATTCGTCTTGATTCAAGAAAAGAGTCAGGTTTATAAAAGTAAGAATTTATTTTCCAAACAATTAAAACATGACAAGTTAACTAATATTTACTGTGATGGATGGAATTTGATGTATGCTGCCTATGTGGGAATATGATGTTATCAGAACTTTCGTCTCTAGAAGAACTGAGTTCTGGGTGCAAAAGGGAAGAATTTGGTTTGCGTTAAGCTATGAAGCTGATTCTCATCAAAAGGCATCAGACGCTATCAGTGTGTCTACTTCACTCTTTCTTGGAGACCCTCTTCGTGGATCCGAAGGTCAGAGAGGTCGGATGACCTCTGGCACCGAGGGCTGTAGAGTACCCATAGCACCGACTCTCCAGTCCAGAGATGTCCCGGGTCACAACAGATGGATGGAACCGTTTGCGTCTCGGAGGACTCATAAGGAGTCGGAACAATATCAGCTTTGATCGGCAAGGAACCATTTGCTGTGTCAGCAGTAGGCAGCTTTTAGCAGGGTTTTGGCAGCTTGCCAAAAATGCTCAGGGTTAAAGAGGTGTCGCTCGGGACGGCCGTTCCGAAACGCTCTCTAGAACGAATGCTGGATGATGGAAAGCTGGAATGCGACTGTTGAATCACTGCAAGTGATTCTGTTTTTATATTCTCATATTATGATTTACTTGTCCAATCGAAGCGTGCCATGTTAAGGGATATTACCAAGAAAACTCAGAACACGCCTTCTTGAGATACCGGATGCTCTGATCTGGGGTAAAGAAATCTCTGTGTCATGAGTTTAACTTAACTTTAATTTGTCCTTGTATCTGGGTGCAGGTAACGATTGCCTTGTCATATCAAACATTACTGATTACCATATATATATATATATATATATATATATATAAATCATCCAATGTAATACTTCATTTCATTTCAATAATTCAAGCACAGATTAATGAAACATTATTATTGTCCATATAACATTTGTTAATTTCATTTCATGAATGATCAACTCATATAAGCTGAAGCAGTCCTATTATAGAGAGTGGCCACTCCTGCTGTGTTATCAGAGAAGACTTTGTTTGGGAACACAGGCTGACAATGTGTCCCTCCTGAAATGTCAGCAAGGTTGCAGTATCCTTCTGGCTTGCAGAAAGACAGAGTGTAAAATCCATTTTAGATGAAAGAATTAGGTCTGCAGATGACCAGTGGCATTAGGTCAATATGTAGGTGAACAGTGAACATTTCTGGACATTACACCTCCCTGCTGGACGCTCATCTTTAAGGGGTTGAATTGAGGTGTTAAACCAGCAAATAGTTCCCAAGCACAGCCACAGCTGCAACTTTAAAATAAAAGTGGATCTTACCATCTGTAGATCTTAGGCCTTCCACTAGAAGACAGAAGACATCAAGATAATTACATCAAGACTGGATTACTGTAATTCTTTACTCTCAGGATGTCCACATAATGTAGTTAAAAGTCTTCAGCTTGTCCAAAAGGCTGCAGCTAAAGTTCTGATGAGAATTAAAAAGAGAAATCATATCTCTCGTGTCTTAGCTTCCCGACATTGGCTGCCTGTTAAATTCAGAATAGATTTTAAGATTCTCCTTCTCACATATAAAGCTCTTAATAATCAAGCTCCATCATACATCAGTGACCTGATTGTTCCATACCTTCCTAACCGAGCACTTTGCTCTCAGACTGCAGGTTTACTGGTGGTTCCCAGAATATCTAAAAATAGGATGGGAGGCAGATCTTTTAGCTATCAGGCTCCTCTCCTGTGGAACTAGCTCTCAAGTTTAGTCCATGAGACAGACACCTTGTCTACTTTTAAGAATAGGCTTAAAACATTTTTATTTGATAGGGCCTATGGTTAAAATCTGATGTTAGCCTAGATCTGGACAAGTGGGGGAGTAGAGGGAGGTGGAGTGTACTGTCGGTAAAGACGGCTCTCCCTTGCCCTGCCTCCAACATGCCTCCATCTAAAAGGCTAGGTTATCCAGAGCTATCTCTGTAGTTATGCTGCTATAGGCTTAGACTGTTGGAGGACTTACTGACCACTTTCCACACTTGACTACTTTCTTCTACAATTTGCTCTTTAACTGAATTATTTCCTGCTATTTCAGCTGTTAGCTTTATTTTTTTCTCTAAGTGTTTTTCTCCCCAGAAGAAGCTACATTGATGTTCTGCTGAGCTGTCGTGGCCTCATGGAGGGCGCCATCGTCTAGCACACTGCTGCTAACCACTTAAACATTCTCCCTTTCCTGATAATAACATTTTACTTTCTCTGACATTGAATGTGCTACTACTAGTTTACCTGTTTAATTATAGATTCACTAGGATAGATACAATAAAGTTTATCTCTCACCAAATAGAATATTTACTAAGAAATCACAATATAGCCATAGAAACACTACTTGGTGTGTGTGTGTGTGTGTGTGTGTGTGTGTGTGTGTGTGTGTGTGTGTGTGTGTGTGCGTGTGTGCGTGTGTGCGTGTGTGCGTGTGTGCGTGTGTGTGCGTGCTCTGTCTTCTCGATCCCCAGTGAGTTGTGGTGGATGGCTGCTTATACTGATCCAGGATCCTCTGGAGGTTTCTTCCTGTTAAAAAGGAGTTTTCCTCTCCGCTGCATGCTTGCTTTGTATGAGGATTGCTGTAAAGACTCTGACACTAGTCAGTGACTCGATGCAATCTGCTGGGTTCCTTATACGTATGAATTTATGTCTTGATACTCTTTGCATCTGGCTATAATTTCCCCTCAGGTCTATGTGTGAGATAAACCTGGAGGCTGAACTGTTCACGCTGCAGGACAGCAACGCCAAGCTGGTGGCAGCGCTGCAGGAGGCCAACAGCAGCGTGGAGCAGTGGAAGAATCAGCTGGCTGAATACCAGGAGGAGACCGATCGCCTCCGAGATCAGGTGACACCAACACACCCCTAAACTGACCAGGGTTGAGTTTGACATAGACAAGCTACTCTGTTTGTGTTTCCTGTGTGAGATCTGGTCAGAGCAGTTGACAGATCAAAGGCCTTCACTGCATGCTTCAGTGGAAATGGGAAGAAATAAAAGATGAGCCTCGTTAATTTCTTTATTCAACCTCTCAGGAATCGCTGATCATTTGTTTCATGGCTGCCAAAGAAGAAGAGATTGTTATTTATCTGCAATCAAACCTCTTGTCTCATCTGTTGGTGGAGGGTCAAGCACCTGTTGTTGCCATGACTACCTGAATGTCACCTTTTTAATTGTTATTTAAAACATTGTATTGAGCTTGCAGTGTTTCACATTTAAGCTAACAAAACATATTCATATTTATAATTAAATGAATGAGCAAACACAGTTTCTGTGAAGTAAAACAACTAACCCACACCCATGCATTGTGTTCCGTTGCCACATTTAACCTTTGAAACACCTTCAGTCCTACTTTACACACTTGCTCTGAGGAGTGTTTTATGATACTTGTCAGAAGATGTTCTTGCAGAACTCCAGTTCTTCAGGCCGCGGCTGTTTTGTTCTCTTCTGTCTCTCCATGTAATCCCAGATTGATGCTTCAGGGCCACGACGTCGTCTTCCTTCTCGTCACACAGGATAAAACCCTGTGACTCTGACTGTCTGAGGCCGCTTTAGAATTAACTTAGGAACGGGATCTAGGTTTTATGGTGCTCAGAACTGCAGATATGCTGCTTTTCCACTTTGCTGTGAGCTCTTCTCCAGCACTTTACAGCTAATTAGAGCATTTCTGTTATCTTTGAGCGTCATCGGTTTATCTTTTTCATCAAACGTGTCTCTATAAAATCAATTTGCTTACTTTCTTGTCTTTTTATTTAGAGCTGACATCAGCTGCAAATAAATAAAAGTATCTCAAGAAAAGTCGACGCTATTCTCTGCATTTAAAAATGTTTAAGAGAGAAGAGAAACTTTTCATCCATCTTTGTTTTCTTGTCCCGTACACCCACTCAACTGGATCTAATGCAGAGGCTTTTTTTACACACAGTGTTCAACAATCATAGTGAAATCTCCCCGTAGACTGCTTCAAACTGCAGATTCATTTTTCATCCAGCTCCCCTCCCTGGTGCATCGTTGCTGACAGGCTCCCGTGATAATGGCGGGGCCAGAATGCAGACATTTCATCTTTAATTTAGAGAGAGGAAATTATGCCCCTGGTCAAGCTTAACAAAGCCTGTTCTGCATGTCTGGAGTGAAACGTTCTCATCGCCGACTAAAGTGGCTGTTTTATCTCTCGCTCAGGTCTGGGCTTCATCTATTTCCTCCTGCTGTACGAGTCCAGATGAAGGTTACCTTTCTCTCACACACACACTGACAGGGCTACACACACTCTGAGCTGCAGCAAAGTCAACCAGGTGGCAGGAAGTAGAACAGGCCTCCAGGGATTGGCAGTAGGGTATGGAGAGGGGCAGGAGTGGTTTTTTTGGGACAGGACACCCCACACTGCCCATCTCCTCCCCCCTCTGTCCCAGTTAGTGGAAGAAGATAAATCACCAGAGAAGCAGAGGGAGAAAAGCTGGCTTTTTCTCTTTCGTCACACTCTGAGCTTCTGCCATGTCGGTGTTCATCCACCACAGGAGGGGGGCTGGGTTTGTTTTCTGGGTTATCGCTGACCTCTTCTCAGCTTTGATCAGAACTGACACCACCAGAGTTTTATATTTAATTTGAAAAGCGATATCCAAGTTGCTTTTATGCAGCTGTTTTTATTTGGTGCATTTAATTCATTTTTCGGATTTTTGGAGGGGAAATTATAAGACACTCGATGCGGTAAACACAAAATCCAGAATTTATAGCTGCATATTGATGTGCAACACTTTGGGGTCTGAAATCTGCGGTTCTGGTGCCACATGTGGATCTTCAGCCCTCTGAAGTGGCTCCAGGTGGATGTGACCTATGATGACTTAGATCTGAAGAATGCTGCTATTTAATCTGACAAGAGCAAAGGAAAAACGTAGCAGTAAGTCTGGTTTTTTTCATTGACTGAATGAATTTTCTACTGCAGGATGACACAGATAACATGAGTAGGCTGCTTCCTGTCCTTTTATTATCAGAATTAGCTTAAAACAACTGAAACGTTCATAAAAGTTTTGTAAACTTTCTGACATGCTGAATAATTTTACTCTAAGCCCACCAGAATTGAGTCCAACTGCTGTAAAAGCACAACTTAGCTTTGCTAATAAAATTTAAGACAGCAAAATATGACAGTCAGACCCTACAGCTAGCTATTATTACAACAACAAAGCAATAATAATGCTGGGATTTATTAATTAAACATGCTCGGAGCGCTAACAGATCTCTTCAGATCTTTGTCAATATTGCACAAGATAGTCAATAAAGTTATTCTTAACATTTGACTAAGAAAACTTTCCCACCGTCATTTCCCAACACAAGATTTTATTTGAAGGCATACTATGCAGCCTTGAGCCAGTATGTGCTATATCAAATTGACAAGTCAGGGTGTCATATGGTTGTTAAAAAAATGTATGATAATCCGATTGGTAATATGGCCCATCGAAGTGTCAAACAGCTTAAAATTGTATGATGATCTGACAGCGTACGCCTGTCTAATAGACTTTTGTTGTCAGGTAGGCATACGCTGAAATACGTGTATGCCAGTCTGACCATGTATGGTGACTGGACAGGTCCCTTTTGGTCTTTAGTCAAGTGGAGCTGACGTACTGGCGCTGGGGTCTGCTTCCAGCATGTTTCCTGCACATTTTAGATCATGAACACAGCTGATTTGTTTGGTTTAGTGATGAACCGCTCGTGTAGACACTAATGAAGGCTGAGGAGCTAAAAAGACGAATGCACAGGAGTTTCAGTTTTGGTTTTACAGCAGTGAATTACTAACGGACTCTGAGTGCAACAAGCTAAAGCTACTAAGGTGGAGGGTGACAGGAATGACTTCAGGGAATAGAGCTTGAAATAAATTATTATGCAGAGATCTTCATTTGCATTTGGGTTCATTGATTTTCCTGTTTGGTTGGTAGGGTGGAAATATTTCTAGGCACACAAATTTTGGAAAACTCTTTCTTCAGGAATATTTGTGTTGAGTTCAAAAAGAGGGAGCTTATGTCTCCAGGGATAGTGGCTAACACACACACACACACAGCTGATAACACAAAGTGGGACTGTTTGGACAATCCTCTCCTCCACCCTGCCGAGGGTTTTCTGAGTGGATGTTGTGCAGCGCCTTGTGGTCTGGAATCTATAAAGCGCCACCTTGAAACCGACTTTAAAAGCAGAGAGAATAAAATGTGGGCCACATGGGAAAGCCTCTCTACGCTCATATACTTACATTTCACACACTCAAGGTGACCTGAAAAGTGACATTAGGTTGTAATGAGTCCTTACATAATCCCTTTTAACGTTTGCAGTTATCTCAGATGCTCTTCAAACCAGATTTTTTAAAATTCATGCTGATAGAAGATTTGTTGATATATTCATGATTGAATCAGGTCATTGATCCATGCTGTTGCAGGAATCACTCATAGATCATTTCTCTCACAACTAACAATTTTTAAGCACTTTCATCTAAACCATCTGACTCTTAACTGCTATTAAATGTAATTCCATCGACCTTGGGCAACATTTGCTTGTCTAATGAAAATATGAGAAACTGGGATTCCCTGATTTAACGTTGGGTTAAATGATGGTGAGATGGTGCTTTGTGAGCTTTCAGACTTTTAAAGTGGCTTCTTGTTAAATGCTGCAGATTCAAACACTTGGGATCCAATTAATTCTAGTTCTTAAGCTGATTACTGAAACGGTACAGAACAAGGCATCAGCAGCTTACGTGTGAGGTTACTGAAGCCAAGAGGGAAACTGGACCTTTAACATTTAACAAAGATGGCAAATTTCACATCAAACCTCAGATGCTGAACACGTTGTCCTTGTTTTCTGACACTTTTCTATTAATATGTTAAAACTCAGTTAACTGGGTCAGACTTTGGGTTAAAAAAATCAGAATCTTTTGCCAGGTCACATCCCTCAATTACCAAAGTCTCCAAGGCGAGAGGCGTCAACTCTGAGCCCACTGGCAGTAAAGCTCTTTCTCCAGTGAGAGGCATCAAAGTGTGTGTGTGTGTGTGTGTGTGTGTGTGTGTGTGTGTGTGTGTGTGTGTGTGTGTGTGTGTGTGTGTGTGTGTGTGTGTGTGTGTGTGTGTGTGTGTGTGTGTGTGTGTGTGTGTGTGTGTGTGTGTGTGTGTGTGTGTGTTAAAGGGTGATGGGGTATCTAAATAAAAAAGATGTATGACAGCATGGACAGTGACACCTGATGGATGTTATTAAATGATACCCAGAGTCTTGACTTAAAGGCATTTTGTCAGCTGTGAAAATGTAATTAATACCTTTCTGTGTGTTTCTGTGTCCATACTTTATTCTGCTTGCATTCATTTTACTGCTGATTTTGCAGATTTCACTTCTTGTGTAGTGGTGTGTATTGACAATAATCTGGCAACATATCTTTCACGATAACGGGAGACGATGCCATATATTTCAATACTAAAAGTCAGAAGATATTTGCCACTTTTAAGATGGAATTGTTGAATGGGAAAACTCTTCCCAGACATTTACGGGGTTTCATAGGGAGCCTAAGCCACGCCCATCTACTTCCGCATCATGGGTCCCCGGAAGAACGAAAAAATTAATGCAAGTCAATGGAGCTAAAAACGCTGTTTTCTAATTCTGCTTTTTTTGTGCCATGGATTTCACATATGATGTCAGTGAATTTTAAAGATGCTTTTTCATACCAAGAACACGCTTATTTTCGAACGGAAGGAAATGTTATTTTAGGTTTTGTGTAAAAATAAGTCTAGGACTACAAATACGCTTCACGAAGTGACCTCATCGAACCAGGCACGAAGAAAACTGAGGGCTGTAAGTTCAACAAACTTAAAATCCTTCCTTCAGAAGGCAAGAACCACCATAAATTTGGCCATGTGGTAAGTAGCAGCTGTGCTGGGGGAGAGGAGATTTTGTGGTGACGTCACATATGCGACGTGCCGATTTCTTTTGTAGTCATGCTAATTACGAACTTTTACAAGCTAATAAATCTCAAAGTACGTGACAGGCATGGTCGAAACACCCATAATTAGTTTTCATTTAAATTGCAGTACAACATATGCGCGATCCAGGGCATAAGGCAAGGCAGAGAAGAAAAAAGCGTTTTAGCACCATTGACTTGCATTCATTTTTTCTTCTTCCATGGACTGGAAAGGGAGGAGACTTAGGCTCCCTATTGTTCCGTCTGAATGAAGGCTGGAAAACTGCTGCCACCTAGCAGTCAGAGTTAGAATTGCACCACACAAAAGAAATACAGCAAATGTTTACTTGTAAATCTCAATGAAAATCAATACACTGCTTTTAAATAGTGATTCAGTATCACAACAGGAAATATATTTCACTGTATCAATATTTTCCTACATCCATATTGAACCAAGCACATCGCTCCTGTTCTTAAATCTCTACACTGGTTACCGGTAAACTACTGAATCAATTTCAAAGTGATTCTACTAGTTTATAAATCACTCAATGGCATGGAGCCAGAATACATTTTGGATCTTCTGCCTGTATATACATCCAGCAGGGCTCTGAGATCCTTAGGAAGCAGTCAGCTGGTAGAACCTCGGGTCAGAATCAGACAGGGTGAAGCTGCTTTTAGCTACTATGCTGCTCACAGATGGGATCAGCTTCCTCCTGACCTCAAATGTGCCCCGACTCTAGAAACTTTTAAATCAAAATTAAAACCTTCATGTTTTCATCAGCCTTTGAATGAATGTTTATGTTGCACCTTCTGCACTGTAACTGCTCACTCTAACTTTGTCTTTTTTATTCTTAAATCTAAAATTAATTTGTGTTAATTAAATGAATAATAAATTAGATTAATTTGGTCTCATTTAGTTGTGTATTTTCATTTTGCTGTCACGTTGATTTTAATGTTCTTGCTATGCTTGCTAATGGAAAGCACATTAAATTGCCTCTGTATGAAATGTGCCATATAAATAAAACTGCCTTGCTGTTGTAAAGATTTTGGTAAAGTCCATCATACAGGATTTTTTTCAAAGCCTTTCAAAGCTTTTGCTCATTTGCAATGGCGCCCCCAAGGGGTGGCCAGGGAGCCATCCCTAGAAAATAGCTGTTAATAAATCATATTAATGTTCAGTCAAAACGTAAATTTATCTTTTCATTCAAGACATAACTGTAAAACAAAATAAAAATAACACAATTAATGAGTAAAGAAATAATTAGAATAAAAAATACATATGTTTTTGCTGCTCACGATTTAAAAAATGTTTTTATCTCCATAGTTTTTTGTGAACACAGGTGAATTAAACTAAAAAATAAATTTTATAATAAAAACTGAAATAACATTTTAAATAACTGAAATGCATTTTTCTGAAATGTTTGTGTTTGTAAAATTTAAGTTAAATGTTTTGAATACATACTGTTTTTTATTATTATTATTTTATATAAAAATGAATAAAGGAGCAATGCAGTACATTGTCACAGGCTAAACTCTCCCAGAGTTACCACTAGGACCTGTTTGGTGTGCCATCCCAAAAATTTCATTGACCCCGTCTGGCCACCCCTATCAAAATTTTCTGGAGGCGCCTCTGCTCATTGGGGAATCACTAAACATAAACTCCAGCACGACTCCCTTCAAATAAAAAACATCTTAGCTCTTTTGTGCGCTCATTCTGTTTTTCAACGTGTCTTTGCTCTTCTTTCCTGACATTTCAGGGAACGTTTTGTTCATGTTTATTCCTGAGCAGGACTGGGCAAAAAGCAACACCCAGTATTCCTCATGAGTCCCACAATGATCAGTGTCAGAAGGAGGCTCAGGAAATCAGTAAAGAAATGTGCTTCAGCGGGGCCGGAAGATGTGGAGCTGTGCAGAGATGCTCTTTCTAACACCATCTTGTTACCTTGCATCGGAAGAGTTAGATTTAGTCTTGGTGCAGCCAGTTCTTTAATGCCCATTCTAATATCCTTTATTTGTATATTCATTAAATGCAAGCTTTTTAAAATCCTTCACAGTTATGACATCAGCCTGAGCATTTTGATTATGTCATTTTTAAAATATGTGTTTGTTTTGTGTTGCAGGTGGCCGAGCTGGAGACCCAGCTGGGGCGTCCTGCCGCTGGTCAGCCTGGTAAAGAGGAGCTGAGTCAGTCGCTGGAGGAGCTGGAAGCCTTGCTGAGAGCCAAAGATCAGGCAAGTTCCCTCCCTGCACCGCGTGCTGTCCAGATCTATTTGTCTTCTGATGAAATCCAAGCGCAGAAAACTGGGCTGTTATACAACAACATTCATAAAGGACTCCCAGTGGTCGGCTGGATATAAACGCTTTAATCTCTGACTGATGTCAGTTGCTGTAAAATGCTCTTTAGTGTGAATCTGTAGTTTGTGGATGTGAAACAAAAGGCAGATAAAAAAAATGTGCAGGTGTCAGTTTGTGTCATTTCTCTCTAAATCATCTTTAAGGCTTAAATGAAATCTTCCTGCTTCAGTAACCTTGTTTTGTTTCTTCTCCTAAAGGAAATCACCTTACTAAATTAAAGTGGACACTAACTGAAAAGGAGCAATTGAATCTTTGTGCTTTGACGTTGGCTAAGATCCCGAACTGTCTTTTAGGCGCTTTGATGAGACAAAAAAACCCTTCTGAACTCTTCAGTGGGGATTGTATTTATTCATGTGAGGTGAAAAGTGTTTTGTTGTGTGAACCATTTTGACTTGTTTGGTTCAAGTTTATGTGCATTAAAAATGCTTATTGAAACACTTTTTACTCCCAAAGTGGGAAATTCCCAGAAAGCTGCTCCATGCAAACAATTTCTAATTTTACAGATAAAATCCTGATATTTGGAGCAATGTTCACTTCCCAAGTCGCTGACTGTGTGTGTGAATGACCAATGAATGCAAGAATTGATGCTTTTTAGTGCAAATTAGGAGATTTACTAGTTTATATTTCAAAAGCAAAGATGGTGGCAGTGGAAAAATCAGACAGGCAATGCTTTAACCACCTAAAATCATTGTGTTTTCAGGAAATTCAGAATCTACAGAGCAAGAAGACAGATGTGGGTGAGCTGGAGAAAGAAAAGGAGGAGATCATATTGAGACTTCAGGTGATGATCAGTGTATTCTGTTACCCCGATGGATCCAACAGCTCCTTTTCCTCTGGTTAAATGAAATATCCTTATTTGGTGTGAATTATATCTAACCCTAATATATTCTGGGATGTATCTGGAATATAGATTTGCCCCTATAAGCATTTTTAGGGAACCTTCATAGACTTACCTTACAGGTATTCTGCGTCCTACGTCATTTATAAAAGTCAGTTTTCAAATCTCAATAGCTCAGAAAAAATACCTCCTTCCTGTTTCTGTGCACATCTGCAGGACCTGGAGAAACGGAACTTAGAGCTGGAAAATCGAGTTCAGAGTGCTGAGAAATCCCTGGCCACCAATCAGGAGGAACAGGAGCAGGCGGAAGTGGAAGTCCAACGAATCATCGATGTTCTAGACGTTAAAATCTGCGACCTGCGAGGCCTGAGGCAAAGCCTGGCTAAGCTGGTCGATAAGTAGCTGGAGCTGGGGTGCATCTCCACAGTCGGCGTTCACGCCTTCGATGGCAGCTTGATGTGTGTTTAACAGGTGAAGCAGCAGAGCGAAAATCACACGAAGGCTCATCCTCATTAGTTTGCTTTAGGATCGGTGAAGGTGCTCCTCCTAAAGGTGAACAAACGGTTTCTCATTGACTCATCGTTGGTGTCCCTCTGAAAGCTGTTGATCTATTATCAATGAACAAATGAGACCCTTTTTGGTTTGGGAACGTTCTAGCTTGAGCCACATTTATTTACAAAAGTCCAGAACCTTTAGTTGTTAAATGGTCCTGTGTGTTTTTGTTGCACCTTTCTGCTAACGAGCCCTAGTCCTGCTTTCATCTTGCTGCTCAGTCTGCAGTCCCTTCTGAGAATCTCTAACCTTTGCAGCACTTTAGCTTGATGCTGTTTTACATTTTGTCCCTTTTGCATGAGACATTATTGTTTTACTACCACATTCACAGCCGAACTCCCACACTTACCATATCCTGATGTGACCTGCTTTGTGGGTCTGATGAGTGATTAGAAAAGCTAATTATTATTTTCTTTTTTAGAGGAGCAACTCTGAATAATATCAGCCACCAGTGTTGCAGCTTAAGTACTGTTTGTGATAAATAGGCGTGTTTCCACTACTGGAACTTCCCGGCACGCGTGTCTCCACTTCACCGGGCCGGCTGAATGGGCTTTTTTCAGGAACCTTTGGTGTACCTGAATAGTAGTCAGCATCTTACCTGCAGTAGACGGCTATCTAACTGACCCGTGTTTAAAGGAGTGAAGCTACTTCCAAGGAGGATTGATTCACGATGAATTTTCCATCAAACTAGTTTTGAGTAAATTCCTCTTCCTCCGTTTTAATTCCTTCAGCGTGTTTCCATTGTCGGAACTTCAGGATCATTTCTGGGAGGGGGAAGTTTGACCAGGAGATACGATGGCCCAGACCTCTTGTGTCTCTAAATTCAGCCCTTTCAGATCTTTGATGACATCAGCGTACCGCGACTGCTTCAGCAGTGAGTGATGTCACGATCAGTGCCAAAAAGCGTCCACAGTAACTTTAAAAATTTTATTCTGTTGAAGTACGACAATTTAATCCATTTGGACGACCGAGAGAGCAGCCGTGTGATATAAATGTGGCATTCAATGACTAGTAGAAGCTCTGTTTTTTACACCGCTCTGTGAGACAACAAACCTCCGTGAACTACGTTGTCGTGGGAAAATTTCACTGCGTTTTTTGCTGTTGGGAGTTCCTTAATGGCTATTTTAAAGTACAGCGAACTGTGCTTATTTACTTTTGCTTCGATTCTGCTGCAAAAGCAACTCTTCTAGTTTTACTGATACCGGCTGTTAGTTATAACGAATCAGCGTGAGCTAACCAAAAGTTCAACTCAGTTCCTTTAGCGTGCCGTTCTAAGTACCTACCCCAATCATTTAGAGGGACATTATGGAAGTTTGACAGCCAAAACATGCATAGAAATAATAAATATCTTCTTCATACATTCTCCTGCAATGCCCTGGTCCTGTAGAATGAGCCCTGGCATTTTTACTGTGATTGCCTGTTTTTCTGTAAAAATCACAGAAAAAGAGTTGCTCGGGTCAAGCAGACTGCTTCATGCGCGTTCAAGCTCAGGCATCGCCCGTAGCATTTGTTATCAGTAGCTTTAGTCTTTGTCGCTGTTCCTAACGCCTAGTGACAAAGCTAGCTACATTTCTGAGGACCCTTAGCTACTTTTTGTAGAACGTTCTTCTAGATATTTCCTGCAAATTAGCAACAAAATAGCCATTTTCGCTCCGAACCGTTCTTTGAACTTTGTTTCAGTTGTCATCAAGGATATAAATGTTACAAATACAAAGGACGTCACAGGCGCTTCAGCTCACCTAGTAAGATGTTGGACTCTTGTGCAGAAGACCCAGGTTCGATTCTGTATGACAACATAGTTTATTTAGAGTTTCTTTTTTACATTAATGGTATATTTTTTTACAGTAAGATGCCCAAATTTTTATTTGAAACTCACCGAACGGCATTCAATTCACAGATAAAAAAGATGTGGGTTCAACTTTCCTTTTGGAACAATTTTTCAAGCAAGGGAAGGGAATGATCTGAGCATGCAGGAGGACTGACCCATCTTAAACCTTTGTCAGCTGTGCTGAAGAGAAAAGTACAGAACCAAATTATTTATTTAATTAGTTGCACATTCTCCTGTCCTCTGTCCTCCGGGCCACACACACACACACACACACACACACACACACACACACACACACACACACACACAAGGGACTGTCTCAGCTATTATTTTCGTTAAGGAGTGTGCACGTACAGCATGCGCGCCTCGTGCACGAGCCTACTATTGAAGCTGCCGTTCCGCTTTTGGCCTGAGGGGCAATCGCGAGCATAAAAATTCAAAAGTCCATAAAGTTCCTTTAAATATGAGGGCCTAAAGCATCAAACTAAAGGTCCTCAAGGGCCAAATAAATATTTTATGGCAATTAAAAAAAATTGCACTGAACAAAATCAGACTTGTAATAATCTGAGTCTTGGACAGGAAAATCTCACCATTGTAGAAATACAATGGGGGCTGCACAAAATCCCTCTGAGGACCACAAATGGCCCCCAAGCCATGCTTTGGACAGGCCTTCTTTATGGGAAGGTTATAAGTTCTGTTTGTAAACGAGGCATAAGAAGATGATAAACCAAAAAAATGACAAGTCTTATAATATAAAGCACATTTATAAGAAAACATGTTAGTTTGCAAATGTAGAAATTCTTTTTTAAGTGTTTTAATTTTTGCTCATTGCAGAGCAGGAGATCTTTCCTACATGTTGCTAAACAAAGAGACCAGCGATGAGGTGTGTATAACAGCCCAGTGATGGAGGTGCTGCTGTTTTCCAGCAGAGCTACTCAGGCATATCCAGACACGGTGAAATAGATGTAAATGTGCACTCGTTCTGTAGTTTAGTCTTTAACATCCTCAAAAATCACCCCAATTCCTTCTCATATGATTGTAAAATAAAGATCTTAGATTTTTACATTTGTTAATCATGAATAGTGATATTTTTAGATATTAAGCTTCTCGACGAAAATCCCAGCTTCATCATCATCATAACAGCCTTCCTGAGTCACGGTGGAGATGCACCCAGGGTATGGACACAGATGCAAACACCCTGAGTCTAATGAGCTCCAGCATCATCAGCAGGCACTCCGATCACACCAGCCAGAACACCAACAAACCAACCCAGAGATGCAACAACTCGCTCCAGCTCCATCCTCTGAGAACCGCCAGCATAAAACTGACTATTTTATACGAAGCGCTCTTTCTCACCACCAGTTCTATTATTCATGTTCATCGATGGGTTCTTTACAGTCAGGACCAGAGATCTGCAAAGGTTAGCAGCCAAATGAAAGGAAGAAAAGGTGCAAACTTTCTGAAATTTGGACGAGATCGGCCTTGTAACGATGTCCTGATGCACCAGAAAACTTTCCCACCTCGATGTTGCTGTTGAACTTTTTCAGTTTTGTGCCAAGTTTCATTTTGTTTACATTTGTCAGTGTTCACTCAAAGTCTAGCTTGTTTTTTTTACACTTAGTCTAGGAGCTTAGATACAGAATAACATTTCTAAACATATACAAGCCTTTGATCACTACGATAGCACCGCATGAGCTCTGCAGAAAGAAACTACATGTAAGAAATGTGACACTGTGTGTGTGTGTGTGTGTGTGGCCTGATTGCTTCAGTAAAATGGCACATCTGCAGCAGTTGCAGTAAATGGGTACTGAACCAACTTGTCAGGGTTCGATGTGAACAGCAGATGCACAGATCCCATTGATTTTTGCTCCTCAGCTCCTGAAGACTTATTGATTTCTTCATGACGGTTATATCGGTACAAATTAGGTGCAGCTGATAAAGCTGTGACTGCCTGAAGCGTCACAGCATGTCAAGATGTGAATTTAATGCAATAAACTGAACCCTAACCCTGCAGCACCCGTTATTACATAAACCTGCATTCATCACCTTAACCACTTCTTCCTCATTAAGGTTATGAGGGAGCTGGTGCCTGACTGCGGCAGCCATCAGGTGAGAGACGGGGCGTTTATTCCCTTTATTCCAGTTCAGCTTGTAAATGTTAGCAGGCTTTATTAGAATGATGTATGTCACATTCATGCTAGAAAATCAGCTGCAGCATGAAAACATTAGTGGATCATTCATGTTACTATACTGGTAGCAGAAAACAGCCTCCTGTAAATTTTGACACTTTAGTGGAACAATTACAGATAACAGATCATGATTAATTAAACAGGAAGTATTTTTAATCTGCTGTGGATACAAATTAACTCCCGATGCTTCAGACCAAGAAGTGCTGCTCATGTTTACACTTTTAACCAGTGAGCACCTGTCTACTTTTGATGTTTTAGATTGAGTAAAACACATTTTAAGACATTTGTTCCTCATATGTTGCCGTATAGACATGTGACCCATGAGTAGTAGAGGCTGGGTTAAGGATGTTGCCTTTACCATGAAGCTATTTTTGCAGGATTAATGGGTGGATTCCTCTTTGATGAAACATTGGGAACAGCCTGTAGAACATGTACCATGTGCCAGTCTTGCTGAAGCCACAGGGACAAATGCAACTAAGGTAGCTGACGTTCGTCTCTGATAAAGCTTGTAACTTAAACCTTTAAGTACAATCTCAAATACCTCAGAACTGCTGAAGTAGTATTTCTGTTTTTGCTCAGCACAAGTGTGACCTGAATGATTCAGTGTGAGGATGAACCCGTTTGCAGGATTTGTCCGTGTGAGGTGGACTTCCTTATATTTGTACGGAAACGTTTTAAACAATAAAACTGTCATGCAAAGTAGCTGCTGCTTTTATGTGATGTTAAAGCTTGCTCACGTATTCATGAACAACATTTACCCTTTAAACCAAACGAACCTTAAAGTTAAAGCTGCTTTCCGGAGTTTTCCCCTTTCAGAAATGATTTATGATTTGTCAGAAATCCGTAAAAGCGATTGTCTCATCATGTACTGTGATGAAATTTAAGCAATTCGTCTTTTTTTTCTTTTGCTAAGCACGCCCCCTGCCCCGCAGAGCTCCATGCAATAGAACACTGAGAACCGGAATTAACCAATAGCGTTAGACCACCGCTTAGACGCTTCGAAATTTAACCCTCTCAAGACTCAAAAAAAGTTGATAAAAGGACGAACAACTAAGTCCTTCAGTGGTACTTCTGAGTTAAAAAATGCTCATGAAATACGTGTGTGGAGTAACCAGGTAGGTACATTGCTAATCTGCAACGCCTGCCTCCAGAGGGTTACGCTGAGTTCATTATTACTGCTGTTTGTTTTCCAGGACTTCAACATAGATGCAGCTCTTGAGTGTGCATTATTCTGTCCAGTTAGTGTGATTCATGTTTATGCTCCAACAAGGTAGACAACAGAGATGATTGTAAAACTACAGAAAAAAGCTTAACCTGTGAATAAAAAGCAGCTCGAGTTTGGCTGCTCAAATAAAACATTGTGAACAAGCAAGTTTCTGAGAAGGACCTCTGAAAACAGCTTTAATCTTAATTTAAGAACACCTGATGACCAGTAATGAATTTATTGAACAAGCCGTAATTCACGGCGGGCCATTTAGCCACGGGGACTCTAAAAAAACAGACCAGGCCGGTAGAATAATTTTCTAACATTTATTTTAACACAAAATGGCATACAGCGCCAATGCAAACTAAATGTTTACTTCAGCTTCTTCTTGGGGCGAAGGTTGTTGGTGTGGCCACACTTCTTCTTGCGGCAGTTGACGGCACGAGGGTGCAGACGGGCGTAGCACCTGGAAAACAAGGAACCCACGTTTGAAAACAAGGAACCCACGTTTGAACATAAGAACAGTTCCTCAGAGCTGCAACCTTTGAAAGTAACTGCAGCTGAAAACCAGAAAACTATTATATAAAAAAAAGTTGCAGGACTGAATATACTTGCAAAAATTGAACTACCAACTGTACCAAAAATGAAATGTACATAACTACATTTTACTATAAATAGTTTGGTCTATCACTGCTGTTACAATAATAAACTATCAACTACTAGAACCCACTTCAGATCATAGCTGATCTGGTCTTAACTTCAGTATCGCTTCAGTTAAGAGATAATTCCTGCAGACATAAATACAACGTATAACTAAACTTACTTGCGGCAGATCATCTTGTCACAGTTGTATTTCTGGGCCAGCTGTCTCAGGGAGGGCTCGATGATTCCACCACGCAGACGGAGAACCAGATGGAGGGTTGACTCTGGTGCACAGGTAAGAATGTCAGTAAGATAGTTAAAACAACCAGACTTTTAAATCAATCTAAAAGGTCACAATAATCTAGAAATGTCAATATGCAATAGTACAATTTGTAAGACTACACATCAGGTTTGACCATACTATTGATTGTTAAGTCTTGTATTCATGTTTCCAACACTTCGTTCACCTGGTGTTAATCTGGCCATACCTTTCTGAATGTTGTAGTCTGATAGGGTACGCCCATCCTCAAGCTGTTTTCCAGCAAAGATCAGACGCTGCTGATCAGGGGGGATTCCTTCAAGAACAATCATCTGGTCAATTACTCCATTTAAAACTGTCATGTTAATTTATGGTATAAAGTAGAGTACATCTTCATTAAAAATTATTTTAATGTATCCTTTTCCTTATAAAGTGTTGAACCGATTTATAGTCAAAATTTTAAAATAATCAAAATACTTCACATACTTCCTTCTGTTTTTATCATAAACAATGAACTTGTGTCAATTAATAGGCAACATTTGTTTTTATAGCTTTATACACAACTCAGACTTTAAATTAACTAAGCTCTTTAGTTTAACAACATTTGATAGAGTAAACTTGTATAAGTAAGCTAGGTGGAAATTTTATATTAAAGTGAGCTTTAGTATTCTATAGAACAAATGAATAATATGTCTGGAGTGTTGCCAATACTAAAATGTTTTATAGTTTAATAACTCAAATGCTTTTAGTTTTGGTCTGATGCAATTTCTTAGATTTACAGTAAAGTTTGATACAAAACAAACCCTAAGAATTTAAATCAATATACTTTTTCTACTTGTGTCTGTTTTTAATCTTTGCTGTTTTTAATTTAAAAAATTGTTTAAATATCTTATTAGTTCAACTTTCTTAAAACAAACAAAAAAAAATTATAAGCAGCGTTACCATACAGTCTAGATAAAACAGCAAATATTTGTGATAGAAAGGCAACAGACCGATTTTACTTTCCTGATTTTGTTATGTAAAAATGTGCATATACATGCATTTGGCCATGAATTTTGTACAATAACATTTTTAGCAACAAACACTCAATAGACATCCAACAGGTGATTAAAATTAAATTCTGTACTTTCTAAAGCAGAGCCGAGACAACGAACTCAGAATAAAATTTACAACCGATTTTCTAAGTAATCCACTGCACTAAAATCACTGTGGAAAGCCTCCAGATGACTTTACAAATAAGGCTATTTGAGTTTTTACGGGCTCTCACCTTCTTTGTCTTGAATCTTGGCCTTGACATTTTCGATAGTGTCACTGGGCTCGACCTCAAGAGTGATGGTCTTCCCTGTCAATGTCTTCACGAAGATCTGCATGTTTGCAGGCTGTTGGAAAGGAAAAGCCAGTTAGCTACAGGTTTTGCCGTGCTGCTAGCTTACCGTCTCAGTGTTTTGACAGACGCTCACTTCCGCACATGAAAACTACAGAAAAGACCCCAGCCGGAGTACCCTTAAGGGTCACATTTTATGTGTAAATAGTATGATAGGTGTCATGTAGTTTGTGTCCAGGCGGGTGAGTTGGTGGAAACGTCAGATTAGCAGTTAGCTTAGCGGACTCGTTTAATGGCCTCGCCACATGCCAGCCGTTCGCGTGGACGTTTCTAAGTATTACTGCGTTATCATGCCCGAGAACGGGACCACTACTCCACAACTGAAGAGTCTAATATTTAAACGAGAATTTTATAATATTTTATCATCAAAATACGGTTTAATGATAAAGAAAATCATGAAACATATGCTGAACAAAACGTGTACCCACCCGGCCGCAGGCTGAGCCTCAACGAAAAGAGACCGGAAGATGCCGCTGCAAGAATACGTCACTTCCTTTTACCTGGTTTTCAGAATAATTGAATAATTTCCGGCTGCAGGCTAATTTGTAAAAATAAAGGAATCAAAATTTTATGTATTGACATTGGTATAATAAACTTATTTTATAGAACAGGTGTGAACTTATTATATCAATCAAGACACATCTTTAACAGAATAAAACAACGGAAAAAGTTGAAGAATGAAATAAAAACAATAGAAAGAAAGAAAGAAAGAAAGAAAGAAAGAAAGAAAGAAAGAAAGAAAGAAAGAAAGAAAGAAAGAAAGAAAATGATTTTTTATGTAGCGCCTCTCAAGATAAAAATCATGAGGTGCTTCACAAAAACAAAACAAAAATATTGAAGTATAAAAAGATTTTAAAAATGAATAAAAATATGTTTAAAAGAAGAAGAAAAAATTAAGGAGAGAGAGAGAGAGAGAGAGAGAGAGAGAGAGAGAGAGAGAGAGAGAGAGAGAGAGAGAGAGAGAGAGAGAGAGAGAGAATGAATAGGAAAGAGGGAAATCAATGGATCCCAGTTAAGGCAGAATAAGAACAGAATAAGGAGAGAGTGGTGATGAAAGTCACACAAAACCAGCCTGAACAGGTGAGATTTCAGCTGCTTTTTAAAGGAGACCTCTGAGTCCACTGATCTCAAGCTCAGGGAGAGAGAGTTCCAGAGTCTGGGGGCCACAGCAGTAAATGATCTGTCACCTTTGGTCTTTAGCCTGGTGTGCTGCACAACCAGTAGGCTTTGGTCACTGGACCTCAGGGACCTGCTGGGGGTGTAGGGAGTGAGAAGTTCACCATTATATGATGACAGCATCCAGGTTTTAATAGTCTAAGCAAGTGTGTAACCGCTGCAGCTTAGACATCTCATGGGGCATAAAGGAGATGTACAGTTGGATATCATCTGAGTAAAGATGGTAGGAGGTTACTTTAAAGGAGCTCAGGATATGCTGAAGAGGAAGCAGATAGAGGAGGAAGCAGAGGCCCCAGCACAGAACCTTGTGGGACACCATGGGTAAGGGAGGTGGTGGAGGACCGAAGCTCGGAGACAGCCACAGAGAAGGAGCGCTCAGACAGATGAGAGTAGAACCACTCCAGAGAAGATTCTGATAGGTCTACCCAGTCTCTCAGCCTCTCCAGTAGCAGGTGATGGTCAACAGTGTCAAAGGCTGCAGTCAGGTCCAGCAGGACCAGAACAGAACAGTCCCCTGCATCACTGTGTGTCAGAAGGTCATTAGAGACCCTAAGAAGAGCTGTTTCAGTAGAATGAGCTCAACGAAAACCTGACTGGAAACGATCATAGATGTTATGTTCATCAAGAGCAGCTGTGAGTTGTTTAGCCACAACCTTTTCCAAGATCTTGGAGATGAACGGAAGTTTAGAGATGGGTCTGAAGCTGCTAGAGAGAGGGGTCAAGACTCGTTTTTTTAAGAAGCGGGTGGATTACAGCGTTCTTAAAGTAAGCAGGAACCTGACCAGAGACCAGAGAAGCATTAATTATAGAGAGCATGCTGGGACCGATGGACTGAAAAGCACTTTTAAACAAAGATGAGGGTAAGATGTCGAGGGGGCATGCAGAGGTCTTCATAGAGTTAACTAGTTTGGTTAGAAATACCTCATTTGACTATATTGATAATAAAACATACCTCAATAACTTGAGGATTCATTTAAATGTGGAATGTTATATTAGTGGTTAATGCTAAAAGAAAAAAATGCCACAGTTTAGCAATTAAGGCAAAACATATATTTATATTTGTAATAAAACATTTGTTACAGTTTTGTTGGCAAAAGCAGAGCCATTGTAATGTCTTTGTGCATATATTGGGTTTTTATTTTCAATTGTCTGTTTCAACAACTTGGTTTAAATGTCCTTTTATCTACAATTATTAAAAAGCAGGATTTTAATGTGTTTGATTAAATTCTTAGTGTTGAATTATTTGTTATGATTTAAACAAAGGATGCTGTAGTTTTATGCGCTTCCAATTGCTGCTTTTAATCTTCCTGAGCACTTATAAATATGAATGTTTGTGGGTCAGTTTAGTTATTTCAACAGTATTACAGAATGTCCTCAAATTACCACTGGAGGACGACAAATCCTCCAATCACAAGAAGCTACAAACCATTCTTGTTCATTCAAATATTAACAGATTTTTAATAAAACATTTTAGATTATTTTGGTGTGGTTAGTTGATAAATAGTTAAAGATTTTTTTATTTGGCTGATTCATTAAAATTATACAACAATAAGCCTTTAGTTAAGCCAAGTAGCCGTCACTTCAGTCTTGTAGTCCAATAAAACGTGTGAAAACAAAGGAAAGTACGTTAATGACTTCATGACAGAGACAGCAAAGTCTTTCAAGCCGCATCAGTTGCCACCAATAATCCGCATCCCGAACTGGACCAAGTTCACCACCAACTTCCGTTGGGAGACAGGACCTCTGGATGCGGACATGTACACCACCATGTCGCAGCAACTGCAGCCACGTCAAACCTGCATAAGACCTTCTAACCCAGATCTGTTCCAGCGGAAGGAAAAACTTCCAGAAAGCACCACCCAATCTACGTTTATCCCACACCACACAATGCCTTTGCTAAAGCCCAAACGTCCCAAAAGCTCAGGTAAGCTGACAGTTTTAGTCAAATTTGTTGGGATTATCTTCAAATTTTAAATGAAAATAAACAAGTGATGGATTCATTTAGTCACATTTAAACAGTACGGACTGCTTTTAAAAAGGGGGGAAAAGTTCAAAATAAATTATAAACTCTCAACCTCACCCATAATGAATAACACAAATAAAAATGCTAATTTCTTGATGCAGTTGTAGGTTATATTTACTAAAATGATGCTTTCCCTGCAGAGATATTTCCCACATTAGAAGGGCATGGACGCTGTGCTGTCTCTGTCCATAAAAGACACGTTTAAAGAGCACGGTGGATTTGCAGCTCCACAAGCCACAAGGGTAATTCTAGATAATATCAAACACCCAAAACCTTTTCCAAACTGAATGTAAAGTCAGACTATTTGGGGGGTAACAGAAAATCTTCACATTAGTTCTATTTAACAGATTTGTCATGAATAATGATGTTGTGGACAAATTAGTTTTCTGAACATTTCTATAACCTAAATGTTTGGATTCTCAAATAACTGAGGAAACTTTCTGGACTTTTATGAGATGTTGCCTTCATTTAGGGGCGACGGTGGCACAGGAGTTAAGTGCTCGCCCCGTAATCGGAAGGTTGCAGGTTCGAGCCCCGCTCAGTCTGTCGCTGTCGTTGTGTCCTTGGGCAAGACACTTGACCCACGTTGCCTGCTGGTGGTGGTCGGAGGGACCGGTGGCGCCAGTGCTCGGCAGCCTCGCCTCTGTCAGTGCGCCCCAGGGCAGCTGTGGCTACATTGTAGCTCATCCCCACCAGTGTGTGAATGTGTGTGTGAATGGGTGAATGACTGATTGTGTTGTAAAGCGCCTTGGGGGGTTCCAGGACTCTAGAAGGCGCTATATCAAATACAGGCCATTTCCACTCCATGATGGATTTAACTGAGGTTAACAGAAATCTCTAGCTGTCTCCAGAAATGAAGAGTTCTTAGAAATTTTGAAAAGTAAAGGTTTAAGATTATATTATAATACATTTTATGTACGTATGTGATGACTGTTGTTGTTGTTCAGCACTCAACTTCCCTCCGTATCGGTGATCCTACAAAGAACATGGAGCAAAAGACATCTTACTCTGTGTCATTCATTCAACCATCGGCCTGCAGGTTGGTATTTCTCTGCTAATCTGGAATAAGTGTCTCAGTTTTCTCACAAAGTAAAGAAGATTATGCTTTGTGTATTCGGCTTGTGAAAGGGGTGGACACTCAGGTGAGCCTTTACACCAGTATAAGAGCCTGGTAAATGACAGTTACTGCAGTGTTGGATGCATATATGACAACGTGTTAACCCTCTCATCCTTGAACATTCACACCAAAACACACATTCTGGAAAAATGTTCCTTGCAGAAAGTGACTCTTCAGTTAAGCTCATGGTGTCTGAGCTAAACAGCTGTTTAGACCGAAGATAATCACTTTCATTGGGACTACTTTCAAACAAAAGGTTTCATTTTGCTGTGAGGCATAAAGAATTGGACTCTGGAACGATTGGATGAGGTCATGAGGTCTGAGGTGCATTTTCCAATGTTCATCATGGCTGAGACTGTGAAAGAGCCTTTCAAGAAGCATGACACATCATATATTGACTTCCACAGGGCAGACTTTTACCCCACAAGAGAACAGTTTATACTCCCCCATCACCAGTACACAATTTCAGATCATTTTACTGTATCTTTAGGCTTTTTTTTTTTTGGCCTGATAATAAATCATATGTCAAAATACACATTTTGCTTATCTTTTATTGCATATTTGCATATTTCTAAGAGTCAGCTGTGTGCATCATTGTTTGGGTTTGTGTATGTCCTGTTATGTGTGAACCCATCCAGATCAACTTACCAAGGCAGTATGTGCATTACCTGGTTCTGATTTGTGACTCTTAAAGATTAAATGTTTTTTTTTAATCCAGACGCCCCCAAATGGTGAAACCGCACACAAATCTCAAACTTGGTGGTTTCTATGACAACGTCTGGTCCTCCACATCCACAGAGGACTTTTGTTATCCCAAACTGGGTGAGTTTTCCTTGTTACATAATGAATTACTAGAATTCACTGCATTGAAGTTTTCTGTGAAACGTTTTTTTACATCCTGTTGTAGAAAACAGAACGCATTAAAGCTGCATGTAACACTTTATAAATCAATCAAGCAATAATGTTTAAAGACTCAAATAAAATGAGCTGCTGCTGATTTATCTCCAACATGTTTTTTTTAATTTCCCAGCAGATCCATTTGTTCGGGTAAAAAGAAATCCCAAAGTCAGCGTTGTTCTCAAAGGCGACACGGATGAGATGAGAAACAAAGACAGGATGTCCACCACCAACCAAATCTTCTTCTCCACCGTGAGAGGACAGACATTCTAACAGTAAAAGTTCTGTTGGTGATTATTCACACA